AAACCCATTCGGAAGGAGCCTGGACCACTGGAGGACAATTGCCCCCTTTTGGTGATACCTTCCCACTCAACCATGACGATTCATCTGAAAAGCAGCCGGCGGCTCCCTGTTTGAGCTCCAAACATTTCAGTACATCGATATGATAGCTCCATTGATATGATAGCTCCATCGATATGATGTGTATATATATATACATGTATATGTATTGCAAACCTGAATAGTGGCTCCTTAAATGAGTTGGTCGCACACCCCCGAAACAGCAGGAAACGTAAGGTCGGTCCAGAAATCTGGCCCAAGTTCTGCTGCCTGACCCCCTGAGGGGTTTTCAACCCACAGCGCCTGTTTCGCCACCCGCGTGTACACCTCCCTCAGAACCTGCCGAACATCTCCAGGCGTCCTCAGCGATCGGACGAGGAAGGAAGTTTGTAAAAGATCGAAACGGGAACCCCAGCTCGGGTGTTTTGTTTCTGGCTGTCAGATGAAGGGCCCGTGTTTTTTCTTTCAAATACCCTTTTTAAGATTTCCTTGTGGAAACGTCAAACATGAGCTATTCAGCATCCAGGTTTCCTGTTTTGGGGCGTTTCAATATCCAACAAGTTACACTTAGCACTCGCCTCTGAATGTCCCATGGAAAATGGCGGATGCATCTGGAAGTTACGGACTCTTCTGCTGTGTACAAAAAACAAGTGGACTCCCCGGGACTGGTAGGTCTTTGGCAGACAACAAATATGAACCCACCAGGTGTGGGCTGCTCCAATCATTGCATCATTGCGTGGGCCGCCCGGCAGGACACAGGGCATGCCTACTGTTGGTCCTGTGTAGTGGGGTTTCAATTGGAATGAACAACACGGAGCTGAACAACTGAAAAATAGGCATCCTAAGCTTTGGGAGCCCAAAAACAATGGAGCTGGAAGGGAAAGCGAAGGAACGCCTGCTCTCTTTTGGGGGGTTCCAGTTTTTGAAAACACAAACAGTTGTCTAAAAGAATAGCCCTTGACATGCTTGGCTTCTGGTCTCCATGAATCCAAAGAAGGCTTCAGAGTTTGACAGATTCCCAATTGTGAACATGCCGTGCGTGCGACGGAAAATGCAAGAGAATGGATACACAGCACCTCTCGCCAACGTCCGAAGAAAAACAAAACCGACCACAGGAACCTGACACCCAAACAATATCGAGCGCCGGCAAAACTTCCTGGTTCGATAGGCAGGGAATGAGTTGCAATGACCCTGATTTTAACCATCCCCTACAGTTTCCTTCAAGGGAATCCCTAGGTTCATTCCCAAAACCCTGGGTCATTCCCCACCTATCGCACCAGCAAGCAGAAGAATTCGCCCTTGTCAGCTCAGAAGTCTCCAAGTGAGCCAAGCTGCACGTGCTCCGTGCAAGGGCTCTCCTGCGAATGGGAACGTGCATAGGCTTGAGGCAGGTTACTTCTCCAAAACACTGATGATTTTTTCAACGTTCCCCCAGAGCACTACCTCCAGGGGGGAAATAGGGTACATACCCGCGGGGTAGTATTTTGGGAGTGGAAGCCATGTAAGAAAATACAGTAGCCACTGGTCCGTCCTTGAGGCCTTGACCACCACCTATTTTAGTGGTTGGGTTGAATCGGATGTTCACGGTACGATTTAGCTGTGGGTCAAACATAGGTGCCCAAAATGGAGCCCTGGTAAGTGGAAACAAGGACTCAAACCTGCGGTCCAATTCCTTGTGGTTAAATCTTGACCCATACCCATTTGGATTTTGACCCATGCACCTATAAACACCACCCGTGGTCCTCTCCGTCCCCGATGAAGAATTCCTTTGGTAAGTCGAAGGCCTCAGACAAACGACGAACGACGAACGAGGCCGCAGGACGGCTTGTGCCGGCGTCGATTGTTTTTGGAGCGGCGAAAGGGTTTGTCAGATGAGCCACGTGCTCAAAACCCGGGTAGATGAAGGTTGGTGCCGGCCATCCCTTGCCATAAATAGCTGAACCCAAAAGGCCGAAAGGTTGGCTTGGGGAAGTGAATTTAAATCGGCAAACATTTCTCTTGGAGCGATCCCATTTTGAGGGAGGAAGCCACCAGACCAAAAGGGATCAGGGACCCTAATCCACTGAACAACTGGGCGTTTCATTAGTCTTCCCCCGCTGAGAAGCAGTCCTTCGGGGTTGCCATGTGTAGTGAGGGAAAGCCACGTGAAATGGGAGCAAGCAAATCCACCTTTCTTTGTTTGCTTCCGGGCCGATTGAAACCAACCCAGCGAGACAGGGCGTGGGCCATTTAGCAAGGAATAATATTGGTTTCCCAACAACAAAGCACCGGATCTTGATACCCCAGAAGCGAAATCCGTTCTTGTATGGGTGTGTCTACTTTTCTGCGAGACCCCACAAAAAAAACAATAAACATGGTGGCGTTCCTTTCGCCTTTCCTTAAACCCAGCCAAAAAGGGGTTCCACTACAAAAGGCCAAACCCAATCTGAGCATCCTTTCGTTGAGATTCGTGTCTGAGTCATAATCAAAACCCGTATTAACATGGTGTACCCAGAGCCATGTAAAGAATTACGAAGGTGGATATCCGTGACAGTTTGGTCCACTTGTTGTACAGGGTCCCCAAAGGTTAACCTTTTATTTCTAGGTCCTTTGGGCGAGCGAGTAAACCAGGCTCCCAGGTGTTTGTCCCTTAGAAAGGAAGCAACGGGGTTTCAAGCAACAGCCAAGGGCAAGAAGCAATATGAATCTCGAGTACATGTCTCCTTTTGGTAGAATAGACAAGTTGAATAAAACCAATGTACACCAGTGCCATCTATTTCTAACCAAGCTAACCTAACTCAAGTACATTGATGAAGTATGCAACACGCAAACTAACTTTTGAATTGGGTGTGTTTTGCGTCGCGGCCGCCAAGAAACTCCAAGACGGGCACCGGCTTCCGGCTTCCTTTCGGCTTCCCTTTCAACCATCCCCAACAAGGGCACCGACTTGCTGTAAAACGCACGCCCAACAACCAATCAAGAAGACGACAACTTGACTGTTAGGGTTGGCTGTGTTGCACCCAAGATGTTTTGGACATGACCCCTGACCTAAATGATGCCCAAAGGTTCCCCAATCAAGAAAAACACCCATATATGAATCAAACTACTAATAGTTTACCCCAGAAGCCAAGGAGTTTTGGTCCCGGGTCCTATTTATGAAGAAACCAGCGTTTCCGTGATGTCTACACAACAACAAGCAAATCACCAAAGAACCAGCAGGACTTCTGGCGGGATTTCCCTGGAAGCGAGCCCTGGCGGGCAGCTCGACTAGAACTCCCTCGCGAGTCCTGGTTGCCCAAAAGAAAGAAGTAGAAACTAAGACAGGTTTATTCAAATCTGGAAATTGTTCTTAAACATAAGAAATTACTGAAGAGGTAAAAAACACAAAACACTGGAGTACCATGAGAAACTCTGGTTGCCTTCGACTCGCTCGCGCCCAGGCGCTGGAAACGCCTCGCGCAGGCACTGCTTCGCCCCAAGCGCCTCCTGCGCCAAGAGCCCCACCTCCTGTGCCAAGGCGCCCAGCGGCAGCGAGGCCTCGGCCGAAGCCGACGCCGCGAGAGATGGCCACCGGCCACGCAAGAATCTGCATACATTGTCAATGGTTGCGTATATATGTAGATATATATATATAATATGACGTGTGTATATATATAAATGTACACTGACAATATACGCAATATATAATATATAGTCGATATACGTGTACATAATCATATATATATATATTATATATATATGTATACATATATACATATATGTCATTGTCGGCCCTGATCTACCATCTGACTTTCGAAGTCCAGGAAATATCTAATCTACAGGAAGGTGGGCCCTGGGTGCCCATATTATGTGTCTATATATATATATATAAAGACATACACACGTAGATGTTGTGTGTATCTTTCCCTTGGTGTGCCCACAATTCTTTTATATACATTTTATTGGTTTCAATTTCCAATGGAGAAAATGAAGGTCAGCTCATATGACTATGGGTCAAAATCCGCCGACATTGCTCGGCGTGTCGGACACCCAAGAGAGGATAGAGGATAACCCCCCCCCCCCCAAAAAACCCCCCCGCCCCGCCCGACATCTGATGCGTGGGGGGTACAGGCTAAACGTAGTCTTTGGGGAGCCGGTGTCGCAAAACAGGGGTCCCAGGCTCTTTGCTGGTTTGGGTTTCCTGCCTCCTTTTGCCGAAAATCTGGAAAAACTCTGTGTTTTTGGACGTCCTCTTTGCGAAAACACTGGAAAAACCGTGTTTTTGGCGGGAAATACTGGGGAGCAAAGGGGAAATGCAAGGAAGTGCAAGGAAATGAGGGGAGAAAACAGGAAGTCGACATGACAGGAAAGTAATGGGGAATGAAAGGGAAACAAAGGGGAACTGAAACGGACATGAAAGGGACAGCAATGAAAACAAGGGGAGTGCAGGGGGAATGAAAGGGAATCGAAGCACAAGGAAACCAATCGGCACGACAGGAGATGTAGGGAAATGACTCGCAACGAAAGAACGGGACATACATGGAAAATGAAGCGGACATGCCGATAAAATGTCAGGGACGTGAAGGGGGAGTTGAAAGGAATGGAAGGGACATGACCAGCACATCATGGGAAACGTGAAAAGGACATGAAGGGGAAATCAAGGGGAAAGCCAGTAGTGAGATGGCAGTTCAGGATCATGAAGGGGCAGTGCCCGGACATCGAGGCAACTCAGGGGGGACGTGACGCTGCAATGCAGAGAGAGAGAGAGAGAGACAGGGAGAGAGCGGGAGAGAGAGAGAGAGAGAGAGGGGGAGAGAGAGAGCGAGACACAGAGAGCGAGAAAGAGACAGAGAGGGAGAGAGAGAGACAGAGACAGAGACAGAGTCAGAGAAAGAGACAGAGAAAGAGAGAGGTAGAGAGAGAGAGAGAGACAGAGAGTGAGGCGAGGGAGGCTTGGGGGGATGGGGAGGATGGGGGAGGGAGAGAGAACGACAGAACACACGAAAAAGACAAGGGAGACAGGAAGAAGGAGAAAATGGAGAGGACAATGTCGGCGGACTGAGCCGGAGGCTCTAAGTCAAACCACCAGGAATTGGACCGCAGGTTTTGTCCTTTCTTCCATTTACCAGGGCAAGCCATTTTGGGCACACATTTTTGACCCACACCCAAATAAAGGATCATCATGTCGTGTTTGCTCTTAGGGTTCGGACCTTCCTCAGAACTGTTGGTACATTTTTGACCCACGGCCATACTTGGTTGACGTTGGAAGGGGAGCAAACATGTTCTTTTTGGCACTAAAGCGGGAATTTCCCACTAAACCACAATAAGCAAAAAATTAACATGTTTCCCAACAACATGCATATGGTTACCAAAATCCACCGACTTCCGGCTTCGGGCTGCTGGCTTCGGTCGAGGCGCCGCCAGCTTCGCCGGCTGCGCCACCTCCGCGAGGAAGCCGGAGACACTGGCAGGGTCCTCCGCCGCCAGCTGCGCCACCAAGAGGTGCAACCTCAGGGGTCGGATGGGGGGAGGGGGAAGGCGGGTCGGATGGGGGGGGGGGGCGTCTTGTCCCTTAGGTGGATGTGGTGGGGGGGAGGAGGGGGGAGGGGGGGAGAGGGAGGACCCCTTGTTTGTTGGGGGGATGTGGGGTCTGTCTTTTGAAGGTGCAGGATCCCTTGCTCAGTTTAGCCTTTTGGGGTCATGACACACACAATGATTAATGATTGGGGAAACCAAAAGGTGAAAGAGTCAAGAAGGTCGGCTTTGGGCAAGTGAGCCGTCGGTCCCTGGAGGGTCTCGGAGTGTCCTCTCTTTTTCAGGGGTCAGGATTTGGGTCTCTACAGTATCTTTTGAAGGTACACTTGGAACATCCTTTGAAACCACCTCCCAAAGGGTACCCTCAAAAACGGTACCTGGGTGTGAGCTGTTTGAGCTTCGGAGCCCATTCTCGGTTGGGTTTAAAGGGACACCAAAAGGACAACTAACATTTGTTGGGCCCTGGTTAGTTGTCAAAATACAAAACTAGGGACGTCTTCAAGTATATAGTTGGTTTCCTTTTGGTTTCCTCTTAACCCAGCCCGAAAGGAGACCCCTGCCGCTGCCTTAAGAAACGCAAATTTCTGCCAGTTGTTCCGCATGGCTTGGCCAATCCAAATCTCTGCAACCCCTGTAAAAAAGGCACCTCATATGTTTCCCAAAAGAAGGATTAAGGATTGCCTTTCAACCACCCACCTCCGGGGATTCTCGGGTATGGGTGGTGGAGGTATGGTGGCTATATACCACTCCTATGAGGATATATATATATATATACGTATATACTGCTTCACAGATATTTTTTGCCGGTAAGGCTCCCAAAACAATACATGTGGTTGACTGGGTCAGGAATCCTGTCGCTTCCGAGGCGAAGACAAGCACAGCTTCGGCGCGGCCGTGGACTTGCAGAGCGCCAGGCGCGGCAGACACTCCTCTTCGAGTTGCAGGGAATGAGAAACTGAACGACCCTCAAGAAAAACAAAATCCCCTGAACAACTGGACGTTTAGTCTTCCCCACTGGGCAGCATTTCTTCGGGGTTACCATTTCTCCCAAACTTGCTGGTTCCCAGCAGGCAATGAGGGAGTGACCCCAAGAAAAGCCATCCCCGGTGTGGCTTCCTTTTTAAGGGAATCCTTTGCCGGTTCATTCCGACTTCCGGAAAATTGGGCATTCCCTACTTATCGCAGCAAGCTTAAGGATCCCCTTGGATCCCGTGGACCAAACAGCAATGGGGTCAGGCCAAGGCTCAATCGCGGTTTGGGACAGCTGCCAGGGAGCGTTCCAGGCGGTTCTGGGGCTGTTGGGGATACCAGGTGGCTTTTGGTTGGTACACGTGGAGTTGATAATGTTGGATGTAGAAAGAAGGCTGAGCTATTTGATAGAATGGTTTGTTTACTCCCTGCAAAAAGTGACATGTGTGCAATGGCCGAAAAAACCCTCCAAACTCTAAAACGTCTAAAAGACCAGGGTGCGGCTGTCCTCAGATCCCCCGCTAGTTTAACTTTCAGTGGTTATAAAAACTCCCTTCTAAGCCAGCGAAAAAAGCTCTAACAAGCTAGGGAACCGAATGAGTCGCTGGTTGAGCCACCAAGCAGGCTACGGCTAAACAACACGCCCAGGCTCCAAGGAGAAGCCGCTGGCGATGTCGCCATTCAGCGCGTTGCCCAAGCGCAGCAGGTGGAGCAACACGTGGCGGAAGGCACCTCAACAACAGCCCATTGCTTCCGATCGAGCGGATTGGCAAAACAAGTAAGCGAACCTTTCTATTTCTGGGCTGCCCTTGGATCCCCCGCTAAAAGATTAACTTTTAGTGGGTTAAATGGAAACTACCACGAAATACTAAAAGGCTAAAAAGCTAAGGGGATGGCTGTGAGCCACCAAGTTTCTATTTACCAGTCCAATTGTCCAACACAAAAGGTGACTAAAACTCGAGGAACTCAGGCGAGGGTGGCACAAACCCAAAGAGAGGCCGTTTATGCTTGGGATTGTCCCTTTTCAAGCTGAATCGATAGATTTGGGCGAGAAACACAAACGGGCCCCAACAAAAAAGGTGCCAACCAACAATCAAAAAACAAGTGCCACTCAACAACAAGCAAACTAACAACTCACCAACCAACCAACCAACCAACCGACCAACCGACCAACCGACCAACCGACCAACCGACCAACCGACCAACCGTTCAACCGACCAACCGACCAACCGACCAAACAAACCGACCAAACAAACCGACCAAACAAACCGACCAAACAAACCGACCAACCAACCAGCCAACCAACCAACCAACCAGCCAGCCAGCCAGCCAACCAACCAACCAAGGCCATCAACACACCAAGGCCATCAACCAACCAAGGTCACCAACCAACCAAGGCCACCAGCCAACCAACCAACCAACCGACCGACCGACCGACCGACCGACCAGCCAAACAAACCGACCAAACAAACCAACCAACCAACCAACCAACCAGCCAGCCAACCAACCAACCAAGGCCATCAGCCAACCAAGGCCATCAACCAACCAAGGCCACCAACCAACCAAGGCCACCAGCCAACCAACCAACCAACCGATTGACCGACCGACCGACCGACCGACCGACCAGCCAAACAAACCGACCAAACAAACCGACCAAACAAACCAAACAAACCGACCAACCAACCAACCAACCAAACAAGCAACCAACCAGCCAGTCAGCCAGCCAACCAAGGCCACCAACCAACCAAGGCCACCAGCCAACCAACCAACCAACCAGCCAGCCAGCCAGCCAGCCAGCCAGCCAACCAACCAACCAACCACGCAACCAACCAACCAACCAACCAACCAACCAACCAACCAACCAAACCAAACCAAACCAAACCAAACCAAACCAAACCAAACCAAACCAAACCAAACCAAACCAAACCAACCAACCAAGCAAGCAAGCAAGCAACCAAGCAAGCAACCAAGCAAGCAAGCAAGCAAGCAAGCGACCAACCAACCAACCAATCAAGCAGGCCAGGCCACCAACCAACCAGCCAGCCAGCCAGCCATTCCGCGATCCGCGGCACGGCTCTGCGTCAGCTGGCGGTACGCCGCCAGCAAGTCCGCCAGCGGCGCGGCCAGCTCCTCCTAGCTTCCGTGGATGGACAAAATCCTCTCAGGCACCACCTCATTTGAGCCCCCAACGCATATACCAACAAATGGATTCAACAATGGTTTCAAAGGTTGCAGAGGGTAAATGGGAATCCCACCCTAAGCACCAAACCACCGGGCTTCAAAGCACTTGGAAGGCCGACCGGGACATACCTTGGATGGGCGAAGTCCATGTCGCACCACAAAATGAAGCCATGGTTGAAACCATGTATTTACAGGGGAACCATCGTTCCACCACAGAGGTTCAAATCCAAATCGTGAAACATGGACCCGCTCCAAAAAACAAGAACGTGTTTTGGAGTCATCTGCTCGACCCACGTTTCGGTCTGCTTCCGTGAATTGTGCATGGGAGTTTGTTCGGAAAAGAATGGAGGCTGACCATTAATTGGGAAGCCAAGTTTGTCCACAAGTGCAAATCAGATCCCAGTCAGTATGCGCAGGCAGTACTCGAGAATTCCCTTACTGGTCGATTTGCTTACCCAAAAGGCAAAAGACATCACACTGGCAAAAGGGAGTCCCTGAACATTCCCTTAATAGACAAACTCCAAGAGACAACCCAGGAGCGAATCCCGGGATATCCGAATCCACCATGAGAAACACACCGACTGACAACACCGACTTTGCAGTATACCCTCCCAACACGAAACATGGAATCTGAAAGAGGGTGCATGTCAAAGAAAAAGTATCTTCCAGGGGGCACGTCGTTTCCCCGGACTCAGTTTCTCGCCAGGGATTTCCAAAGGATTTGGGAATGAATTGGAAGGGGATCCCCTGGCAGGAAACGAAACTACTAGGGATGGTTCATAGATCCATTCTTGGACATTCAGCCAAAATACTAAGCAGGTCGCAACCATGCTTATAATTGCGCTAAGTGACGCTAGTTCCCATACAACCATGGTTGCAACCTACTTGTGGGTTGAACATCAACTCACTTGCCCCTTGGAGGCCTGAAAATCAAAGGTCCACCCTTTGGAACCGTGACTTTCCATCTCAAAATGGTTGCGAAAAGGGGAAAACAGCAAAAGGCGAGATTAAAAGGTCGATTCGCTTTGGACATGTAAGTGAGCTCAAGGCCATGGTCATGGCTCCCTTACCAATGTATTTCCACTGACCCGGCTGCGAGCCTCCAGAAAGGAGCTTCTCTGCCTAAAGGACACCCAGCCCCTAAAAAACCCACCAAAAACGCGAAAAAACCTCTGAGGAACCTGACGATTCGCTGCTTCAACTACCAAGTTCCCAAAGCATTGGCAGGTCCCCGAGAGCCTCAGATCCCCTGCTAACAGTTCATGTGCGGATTCACTGCCCCCCACAAAACCTCCAAAACAGGTTTTGGCGCGGCTGGCAACCTCCAAGTTCCCCCCCCCCCCGAAGAAAAAAAAGAAGAAAAAAATGGCATTGCCTTTGCGACCGAAGCGTAAAGGAAGCGAGCCAGCGAGTCCCCCGAATTTTCGAGTCCCACGAGTCCCCGAGTCCCCCCGAGCCCCGAGCTTTCGTGAGTCGACTTCCGAGCCTTGGCCTCCCGGAGGCGGCGGTGCAGCAGCAGCAGCTTCAGGCGCTGCCGCGCGCAGGGCGAGAGCTTGGCCAAGGGCAGCAGCTCCTGGCGGCCGTCGGCCGTCGGCCACGATGAAAACCCGGTAGTAAAGTGGTCTACCCACATTTATGAGAAGAAAAAAAGATTCCCCCCGAAAAAACAAAGGGAATAATCCTAATCAAAACCCGGTAGTAAAGTGGTCGTAAGCCCAGAACCATGTGGCGTTGGCCGATGTTCCCCTTTTCCCCTTTGGAGAGGGGAATGTAGAGATACATCTGGCATTCTCTGGACTCATGTGAGCCACAATGAAAACGCGGTAGTAACGTGGTCGTAAGCGCTTCAAGAATTAATTGAAGGCGGATGTCCGCAACTATTTCTGGCTGGGACTGCCCCTTACTAACATTCATCTACCCGGGTTTTGATTGTGGCTCACGTCTCATCCCCCTTGGGTGGGCCGTGCGAGTGGCTCGTGTCTCTTGTTTGGGGTGGAACCCGGGACCCCCCCGGACCCAGCAGCCATTGGGGCCCCCTGAAAAAGACGGCTCGTCTCTTTTTGAGTTGGAACCACCCTCAGCAGCCATGTGTTGGGGTTTGAAAAGGACGAGCCACCACTGAGCTCAGGAAGTACAGTGACTGGAGGCTGCTGGGAGACAACTTCCTCTTAAAGAACCCTTTCGCTGGGTTGGGTCAGCTTCTTCCCTCTACTTGTTGGAGTTGGGCCCGGTGGTGCAGTTTCAGGTGTCACGAACCACGGCTTCAAATCCAAATCCAAACCAAATCCCGAACCAGCAATCCAAACAGCCAAGGGCGCACTTGACGCTGTGGTTCTCCTGGGCCAACAGAGGAAGCCAAGCTTCGCGGCAGCCCATGTTTGGTCCGTGGGTTTTGTCCTCCCCTTAAAACAACAAACGATCCGCGAAAGCAGCTCCCGTGGCTTGGCGGGATTGTCTTGCAAGCCCGAGTAATTTCCCAAACTCCGCTCTCCCCCCGAACGACCAAATAGAAATCGGGTGACCCCAAGTGACATCTAAGATCTTGGTTTCATGAACGACAAAGAGATTGGGTGAGCCAAAATCGGTTCTTCTGTGTGTGTGTGTATATATATATATATTGGCTTCATGACGCACACATGAAAATCCTGCGTGCACGCCTGTTCCAACCGCCGAAGCTTGCAGATGTCCCCCCTGTAAGCCAGCAGCTGCTTCGACTCCTGCGGAACATTCGGAGGATCGCTGGAGTCCGAGGCCAGAGGGGAGGTTCTGCCAAAGTTAAACTGTTTGATGGTTGAACGAGAAAATGAAGGAAACACTCGTCTCAGGGCAGAAGATTGGAGTTTCTGCAGAAGTTGTAGTTGACACTGTCTGTTGGTTGAAAAGGAAAAATGAAGGCAAACTAGAAGGCAAAGAGTTGAAGAGCCATAAGCAGCTTCTGGCAGTGAAGGGGAAGAGGGCAGGTAGCCCTTGTTTGCACATGTTTGACACCAGGCAAACAATCACGCCAAGCATTCCAAAGTAGTTGATTCCCCTCCCCGTGACTAGTCAATCGTGCTCACAGAAAGTGGCAAGCTGAACCCGGATTTGCCACTTCTTCCAAAGCAGAATTTGGGCCGTTGCCCCTCGTTCAAACAAACAAAGCATGTTTGACTCCTGACGGCTGAAGCAAGCTCCCTTGGGTAGCCCTTGAAATATTTGAAAGGGGGTCAGGATGTTCAACATTGCTTAATGAAGAGGGGGAAGGAAAGGCAAAACAAAAGCCTGCTGCGAGCTAGAATCCACTTCAAACAAACCAAAGCAAACTCAACACAGTGGCCCTTAATCGATTTCTTCCTGAACGGGATCCACCAAATGTCAAGTGCCAGCACGGATCCCAGAATCCAGAACACGTCACATAACCCTGAGCATCGCATAACCTTGGAGACCTTGTCACCCACGCACACATGTTTTGTTGGGAAGCATTCCATGAACTCGGTTGACTCTGCTTCAAAGAACTTGGGACATAGGCAACCAAGCCATGCTCAGGGATACGTGTATCAATAAATGTCCTGGTTGTCTTGGACAAAGAAAACACACATCGGGGATGGGTTCTATCAAAATGGTTCCCTACCTATTGCACCAGCAAGTCATTTGACCGCACTCGAAGCCGGGGCTCAGTTGCTGAGCCCAGTCCTCCGCGGTCGGCATGGCGCCACAAAGGAGCTCCAGAGCGTCGGTACCTAGCGAGGCGACGTGGAGGGCGATGTGGCGCGGCGTGTGGCCGGCCGTAGACTAGAAGACGCAACCGACCGCTGGACTGCAGCACGCACCAGCCAAACATG